ATTTATGATATATATCGCTAAATAACAAATTAATCGATGTTTAGCGTTTAAATTTAATCGATATAAAACGATTAAGCATTATATATCGTTATAAATCTACTTGAAAAAATTCATGATGATAGTTCCATTGCATATATCATGTTCAAACAGTTTATTGTTTAAGTACATGATTCTTGTGCCTTCTTGTAGGGTTATTTTTTCAGGAAAGTTAGTATGATGATTAAAGTGGAAGGATTTTTGTTGATTGGATGTGAGATTGGAGTAATTTAGTGTGTCGATTGAAAGGAAGATTATTGGACCCGGAGTTTCATTATTTAACAGGAGGTTTTTATATAAGATGTCATTAATTGAAGTTGCAGATTGGCGTAATCCTACAAGGTAGATTGAGTTTATTGAATTTTTGAATAAGCATGATTGGTTTATTTTGTTTTGTATTAATTGTTTGGATAGATTTGTTAAATGGCCGGATTTTAGTTCTTGAAGTAGGTTATAGAAGGTGAGGTCGTTTTTTTGATGTTAGGGTTTGTGTAAAAATATAGGAAAAAATATTTTCCATACAGGGGAGTTAAATACGGGAAGACCTTCAATAGGAGGTAATTGTGCAAGGTCTCCGACGACAAGGGTAGGAATATTACCAAATATATATAAAGTTTGATGAATGGAGCTAAATAAGTTACTTATGAAAGAAAATAAACTATTGGAAACCATAGATATTTCTTCTATTATTATCGCTTGTATTTTTAAGAGAGATTCTTTTGATGCAGGGTCATGGAGGGCTAGGGAGATATAGTGACCATCATTGTTTCTAATTTTTAGAGCAGAGTATATAGTTTTTCCACCTACATTTTGGGTGGCTATACCTGTTAATGCGAGTAATAAGTAATTTATATTTTTTGATTTTAGGTGTTGTAGAATAAGATGGAGAAGGAAAGATTTTCTAGTGCCAGCAGATCCTGTCAGAAAAAAGAATGGATATTTTCCTTTGTTATATTGTCCCCAAGTATTGCATAGTAGGTCATAAGATTTATATTGGTCTTCATCAAGGGTTAGAGCGATATGTGATGAGAGTGTTGATGGAGAGTGTAGTGAAAGTAGTTGGTGCAAGATTATATCGTGAATATCTTGATTTTTTTAAAGAGTTTAAGATATTGTCGAGTCTTTCTTGGTATGCGGAGGAGATTTATAATCTTTGAGTTATAATTGTGTTATTAATGAATATTATTATATTATCATATTGGAGAGGATAAAGAGAGTGAAATCTTTCGCGGTATATAGAGAAGCCTGCAAGGAGTTCTTTTTCGGAGTAGCAAGGTATTCTCATAATAAGGTGCTGAAAGAAAAAGGGTTTGCTATCATCTACTTTGTAAAAAGCAAAATGTAGTAGTTGGGTTTTTTTTTTGAGATAAATATGGTGGTTTTTTGATCTTGGGTACAGTACGTTTTCGCGTTGGGTGAAGAAGGGTGATTTTTGATAGTGTAATTACGAAAATAATTAGAGTAAGTGAGAGAAGGAAATGGATCAGTAAGTGGTCTATCAAAATATTTATCAATGGCATCGTCCTAGTAAGGTTTTTCTTTGTCGTTATCTTGTTCTATTTCTATGAGTTGGTTTGACTGCTTGTGTATGTAGGTGTGAAGGTGTAGATGGAAAATATTGTATGCTGATAGAAGATCTTGTTAGTGGGTATTGTAAGAGTAAGATCATTAATTCTATTGAGCCGAGTTTTCTTGCTAGGATGTGCTTATGATAGTCATTATTGTCATTAATTGCAAAAAGTTCTGTAGGTTCTGGCTTTGTTACATATTTAGTAATATACTTAGTGAAGCCACTATTTGTGATGTATTGAAAATTTATATGACCTTGCTATATAGATAGTGTCTCAAGGTTATAAGGAACAATTTAACAATCTTTCTCTTTTAGACGTCTATATGTGTATCGTAGTGAGTTTAGACTTAAGTGAGTTGTATATGAAAGGGGTTAAGGAAAACCCTTTTACAGGGTTGAGTGTCTGTGCCAGAACCACCACATAAATTAGAGCGGCACCTGTGTATTTGGTAGGTAGAGATGAGGTGGTGCAATAGTAGTTCTGTTAGCGGGTTAGGTAAATCAGTACAAATAAAATTAGAGTTTATTAAATTGGGAATAGATAATTCGGTATATGCAAAACTGTGAGTATGAATAGATCCTCTGTTTTGAAATTCGTCTCTTTCATAATTTGCCCCAACTCATTAATTGTGGATCTTTCTATAGTTTGTTGCGTAGATCATTTAATTTATTGTGATAGAATAGATAGATATGTAAAGGCCGGTTTGATAGTAGAGTGTCGTAGTTGTCAGTTGTTAATAGAATATAGTTTAAATGGGACCACTTTTCTTCAGCTAAGATAATAGTGTAAAAGATTTGTGGTAGTCCTTTTGAGCGAAGCATTTCATTAACTTGCTATTGTTTTTTTTTAAAGAAAGGAGCTGCAGTTCTTAGGTTTGAAGAAATCGGTGTTGTTATTGATTCATTAAGAATAGGTCGTTCAGTGTATATGCTTTGTGATATTAGCTCTGCACGTGTGGAATGGAATAAGCGTGATACGTTTTTCTGATTTAATAATCTACACGTATTTTGAAAGTTTCTTTTTTTTTTTAGGTTTAGGTAAGACCAGTGGGGCCAATACCAGTGTAGACGAAATCTTGGATCGGGGCATAGCATTCTTAACTTAATGTATTTGCCGTAGCTCTTGGTATTTGATTGCAAGAATAGTTGATTTTTTAAGTCTTCGTAATAACCTTTTGCTGTAGGGAAAAGGTCGGGAAAAAGTAAAGCTTCTAGGTTTGTATTTTTATATGATATAGGAAGTGTAGATTGATTTTGTTGTATTGTGCCGGCTAAAATATTATTATATGTGTAGTCTTCATTATAGATTTCAGGAGGAAAAGAATGGTTAGGGATGACTAACTGAGGTAAAGTATACGAAGAAGCAGTAGATGGAGTTTGTTGTGTAGCTAACGGTAACGGAATTGGGATAGGGTTAAGTAGTGTTGATTTAGCATTTTCATAAGAAGGAGCGTAATGGTAAAATAAAGGGTTGTTTTGTTTAAGCCACGAGCTGGTATTAATTAATGTGGTATGAAACCATTCAGGTTGGTTTGTTGGATCGATAAAAGCGCCTATTGAGCCTGAGTATAAAAGTAAAGCATGAGGATTTCTGCTTAAGGAGATATCACCTTTTAGAAATCTATAGGTAGTATACGGATTTGATCGTGGAGCTCTGCCTAATGAGCAGAATAATTGAACAAGAGATAGATATTTCCTATTAAACATTAGTATAGCTTGTATTTCTGGTGAGACAGGGGCGATTATTGGAGGAAAACATCTAGTTTTGAGTTTTTTACAACTTATACAGATGGCAACTTTGGTGCGAGTTTCGTTATAATACACAGGTATATTAGAAAATGCCAAAAATAGGGTATATTGAGCGTTAGGTTCAACATTAATCCATTGAATAGCGGAGTGGAACATCAATATCGAACAGTAGCAGCAGGGTACGTGAAGGTGATCGTACAAAATTTTTGATTCGAATTGATTAAGTAGGGCAGATAATTTGTGGGGAGGAGACCATGGTAAGAAGGTAAGGGGTTCGCGAAGAGGTGATGTTAAATGAGGAGAATTATTGATTTGTTGATTAAGTGATGATTGATTTAGATTATTTTGTAGCATGTAAGGAGCAAAAATATTATCAGAAGAATTAATATAATTTAAAGGGGACATGGTTGTAGCGGAGTGAGAGAGTAAGTAATAGCGAAAAATATTTTGAGACATCGGTTAATTTTATTTTTGTAGTATGGGGGAATTGGTAAGTTAGTATTAGAAGAGTTTTTAAAGATGAGAGTGAGTTTGGGTAAGGATTAGTTGGTTTATATATTAATAGAATAATAAGCTTGAATTGTGAATTATTATTGGAGAATAAGATGGTATGAAATTTTGTTAATGTTGAAGGTGTTTTTTGTTATTAAAAAGGGTTATTATTGAATCAATTAATTGTTAAAAGGATTGTAATCTAATAATAAAGAAAAGAGATGGATAAGCGATTGATACAAAGATAATAATGAATGACGAAGCGGAGTGGATATTGTATATACGAATGAACATTTGTATAGGATATCGGGTATCTTCGAAAAAATATGAGTGTGTTAATATTTTTAATTTTAAATATATGAACTTTTTTATAGTAGATATTTGAATTAACTTGAATTATTCTATTAACTAATTTACGTTTTTATAATGGAGTTAAAACGGTTTGTATATTTTGTTTAAAGCGAAACTGGTTTATATTTGTTAATTTTTGTAATTTTTGTGAAACAATTTAATCTGTAGGATTTAAACGCGAATATTGTAAAGATGGTGCAATGAGATGTGGAATCATAATTTACATAGGTGTAAAGATAATTTTTAGGATTTAAAATAGGAGTTTAGTTTATTATATTCAGTAGATGTTGTTTTTTAATCAATGATATATGGTAAAGATATGAGAAATAAGTATAAATTTTGGTTTAGAGTGGATTAATTTTATTATGCGTATCTGAGGCAGGTATGTTATATGTATACTGATATATTTTTTTATAAATTTTCTATATAAATTTTACTTATTCGTTAAAAATTATAGTTTTATTAGGTTTACTTTTTTTGATATTGGGTAATTTTATATAAGCTAAGTAATCTTTATTAATTTGTTTAGAAAATTGAGCATACAAATTGAATGAATAGAAGAATAATAGATAAAAAGGGTAAAGGGATGTTTCCTATTAAGTTTCTAAATGACTAATTTTATTTATTCGGAAAATTCTGAAAATTCAGATTGGCTTCGAGGTGTAGGCGAATTGTTATGAGTGTAAGTGGGAATAATATTCATGGGTGAAGATGGAGCATTTATATTTGTATTTGTAGAATAAGTTTTAGGACCTTTTCCTTTATCTAAATTCGATTCTGGCATGGTTGCATGTAGGTTAGAAGACGAGAAGCTTCCCGAAGCTAGAATATTGTAAGGTAGCGAAGATAAAGATTTAAGTTGTAGTTTATTTATAAGTTTTATGAAGAATAAATTATTTGTTAATTTTATACCTTTAATCTGTTCCATAGTAGCACATATATGATTAAATCTCGTGTCTTCTGAGGAAGTGTTGGAAGGAATATGGTTTGAACCATTATCGCGAGAGGTTCTTTGTGGAGTGTTTTTATTGAAGTTATTGTTAGAGCTTGGGTGAGTATTGAATTTTTCGGCAATTCTTTCAAGATCTTCGTGTCTTTTGCGTTTATTGTTGGAATTATTTGAGTTATTATTGGCAGTGGAAGTTGAGTTCGTGTTAGAAGAGCCAAGATAATTCTATTTAATGGTTTCACATAATATGAAAGCAGATTTCACGAGGGGTACAAGCTCTCCACCAACTGAAAAAATTGGGCGACGAGTAGTTGCATCTGCAACATTATTATGGCGAGTATGAAGTGGGTATTTACAAAGGATAGACAAGGAGGATTGGTTGCCTGTTACACCATTATAGACATCTTTTTTCAAACAAAATATTCCTTGACCATTTTCGGTTATGGCAGAATCTTGGATTGGTGCAGAGAAGAATCCGAATGCTGGTGCGATCGGAAGATCATAAATAGTGGGTTCATCACCTAGAGAGAAGATGTTTAAAGGAATGTATTGGTTAAACGTTACCTGTGGGATGGGAAAAGATATGAAAGAATAATAGTATTGTTTATTATTATATGTAAATTGGAGCATTATTATTAATTACATTTAGTTGATTATTTTTTATAGCAAATCATCCAACGATTAGAACTATATTTTTTTTCCATATTTCTTCGATTAGATCATCATCTCCTGATCGATAAATAGCAGTTCCGGCAGTAAATTTATTAGCGGTTGTAACGTCTTTGACGAAAGATACAACACAAAATATGGAGGACATTTTGTTAGGCGGATTTATTTCGCGTGTATTTGGAGTAAGGTTTTTTTTTGTTTTATTAAATTTACTAACGAATTATAGGTTTTATTGAGAAAATTTGTTTAGATGGAAGTTATTTATATTAAATTTCGATACAATCTTTAAGAGTGATTATTGTATTAGGTAATAGGGTATCGGGATTGGTTTGATAAGCATTTCTTTATTAGTAATAACGGTTCTTAATTTATTAAAATTTGGATGCTACGAGAATTATATGAAGGTATATATCATTTTAGCTTTTTATTATTTAATAGAGTGATTAATTGAATAAAGATTAAATTTATTTATATAAAGTATTATTTGTAAATATAAGATAGAGAATTTTATATAAACGACAATATTAATATTGGTTTATTGTTACGGGTTTTCTTTGTTATATTATCTACTATGGTAGCTGAGCTTGAAAATGAAGGATTAGAATAAAGTAAAAAATATATAAATTTAAAGATGAAATATTATATTATATAATCATTAAGAAATAGTAAAATTGTATTATGTAATTAAATATAGAGGCTGGTTGACTATAAATCTCTTTATTTGGAATTTTTTTTTGTAACTGGTTGTTAAGTAGATGCGATGAGAATCTTAGGTGGGTATGTATAATAATTTTAGAGTTGTATTGATTATCGGATTTATCAAGTAATATATTGTTATAGAACGAATTAATTATTAGTTTATTATTTTATTATTTATTATTTATTAATTATTATCTTAGAAT